TGCCAATGAAAATGGGAATGTCCAGAAATTTGTGCTGTGCAGCTGACTGCTGGAACCTTCCACATCTAAATATAGCTACTGGACAACATATTGCTATATTTCCTTTACCCTTAAAATGGACAGAGCCAATTTAAGACAGCTTAGACTTTCAGTGTAGGGAGCGTATCAGGCTGGGTGCCTCAATGTCAGGAAATAGGTAGTCACAGATCTCACTCTGAGGGACATAACCCTAAAATGTCCATTACCATCACTGAGGACTGCCCCTCAGCATAGTCCCAATCCATGAAAATCACTTAGTGTGAAACCATAAAAGAGACATGGGAGATACTTTATCATTTCAGACTTGGGGGATTTCTTTCCTTTCCATGGTTGACTTTGTAATTCAGCTGCTCATTTCAAATACTCTTATTAGGGATGGGATGCAAGGTATGAGGCACTAGGTTTCTCAAACTACCAGGCTCCCGTGTGATCATTGTATTGCCCACGGAACTGAGCATCCAATTCCGCATTCCATGAAGCCCTATGCCAGATAAGGCTATCCTCTGGCCAAACAGGACTTCTTTGAGCCTGCATTATTCAAAGTGCATAGCAGCAGTCCAGGAAAGGGATGTGATAGCACATGCCAAACCCTGGGGCTGGAGCCTTTTATTCCTAAAGGAGATGATCCCATAGGAGGAGGGTTTGGCCGAACACAGTATAAAATCCTTTGCCTTCTCAGTTCTAGAAGATATGGTGATTCCAGTGATATCCTGCACACCTCCAAGAGCATCACAAGAGACAGGGACTTCAATTGCAAAATGTCCCTCCCACCCCCACCTTATCCAAGAGCGCTAACTGGAAGTGCTTTCTGTCGTTACAGCTTCCTTCATACTTTATCTGTTTCCTATTTAACAAACATCTCTATCTTGTATTTAGTTCTTTACAAACTGATTTTATCTCTCTTACTGGACTCTAAACTCCTCGAGGGTAAGACCTGTGTCAGATTTATTTTTTAATTCCCTCAGCATCTATCACAGTTCCCAGAACACTGTAGCTTCTCCATAAATATTCATTGGATGAATAAATGAATAATGCACAAACACCATGGTCAGGACAGTCTTCGTGGCTATTTGTCGTTTTCAATCATGAAACCACCATATCTGTAAGACGGATTGGCTCCTAAATAAAGCTGTAATTTCCTAAGCAGAGCGGATTCTGATCCTGATTTGTGAAAGACAACAACCATGTTGTTTAACTTTGTTAAAGTGTAAAGGCAAGGAAGAATGTTATGCTTGACAACCATTCTCTCGCTTGCTCTCCCCTCCCCCCCCCTTTTGGTAACAGATGTCAACCTCGGTTAGATTCAATTCAACTTATTAGTGCATGGCTTTTAGCCAAAAGCAATTCACATTTGCAGAAGTGTACTATCACATATGTCTTAATAACAGAAATGTGTTTTTAAAAAAATGTATGTGATAAGTCACATATGGTAGAAGAAATCTGTACATCTCTCAGGCCTTGTTGTCACAATGAAAGCTTGAAGATAATTGCTGCAGAACATTAACATACAAGTGAAAGTCTCTCTGACATGTTAAAGAGCCACAGTTTGAAGAAACTAATCAAGATTGGATACCGGCACAGCTCCAGCAGACTGAGAAATACACCAGCATCTCTTGTCCTGATCGCTGATCTTAAGAACATTCAATTTTGATTCTTACCCTCAGAGGTAATATTTAATGTTCCAAGGTAAAATCATTAGTGTATCCAGATACATTAGGTGCTTACATTCACTAAGCATATATTTAATTTCTCCTTTATATGGCATGTAATTAATGTGTACCACAGTCTCCCTATTGTGATGAAAGAGGCTTACGATCATGAAGGTATTAAAAGTAAACTGAACAAGTGGCTGAGAAATAGGGAAGAGGAGGCAAACCTTTAGAGAGGAAAACAGGAAAACTAAATGGATATTGTGAATCATTTACCATAGCTCTAATGGAAAGTATGCTCAGGTTGAGTTAGATCTTGGGAAGTGACAGAATTTAAGAACGTGCATATGCCTTTTGGAAGCAATCCATCCACTCACAACTTGGAATACATCACTGCACTGTCAATGGATCTCATATCCAGAATGACTTCAAAGATAGTAAATTCGAAGCCATCTCTTTGCTCTGAATGAGAACTGGGTGGTATATCAGCCCCAGAAAGTCCAGAACACAGGAAAAGGGCTTGGTGAATGCCTGCTCTATGTTTAAAATGACAAAAGAGAGAGAGGGGTGATAGTTTAACCCTTACAGTCAGGGAAAAGCTCACCTCTGTGCCTTTTTCTTCCTGACCAACGAGAGTAGGAGCCAGCAAAGGCTTGCTGTAATGGGCCAGATAGTAAATAGTTTTGCCTTTGTGATTTGTACAATCTCTGTCACCACTAATCTCTGACACCATGGTACAAAAGGAGCCACAGACAATATGGAAACAAATGAGTGTCGCCATGTGTCAATATAGCTTTTTTTAAAGACACTGAAATTTGAATTTCATATAATTTTCACATGTCACAAACGATTCTTTTGATTTCTTTTCCCCTGCCATTTGCCAAACTGCACCAGAGGATGACATCCAATCACACATATGATCATCTGTACCACTCTGTGTTCAGGCTTTAGTTGCAAATGTCTCCAGACCTCGACTTTTCCAGCAAGCCCGTACACATTTTTCATTGTATGCACAATCAAATGTTAATTCTGACATAAAAGAGCAAGCTGGTACACATCAGAAGCAGAGCAGCGAGAATGAACCAGAGCAACATGGCGTGAGTCAAGAATAGGAGGATAATGGATGACTTGATCAGTTACAACATATAGCCCCTTCCAGTCTGACACTCTAGTGTGGGACCACAGGTCTCATTAAGCCTCTAGGCCAGGTTCCTGGAAGGACTTCTCTCTGGGATGTGTCCAATTTGTTTATCCCATCATTCATTCAGGAAAACACGTATTTGGGGTTTCAGGGCACCATGTGTAAGTGAAATTCTCGGTCAGACATCCAAAATAATAAAAGGACCACTATACATAAAACTTCAAAAAAACCTGCTTCTCCTTTGCTATCAGGCAGTGTTCATGAACTGTGCACTGGGATCTATGTCCCTGAGCTGAGGTCCTGAAGAGGTCTTCTTCTTCAAGTGCCCAGTGGTTGTGGCTGGGCGGGTGGTGTAGCTATCACGAGCCATGTCCAGGAGGAAAACCAAATGCACACCGAGAAGAGCACCTTATTCAATTAGAAGGCAATTCTAAACACCTACCAGTTGATCACAACTGAGGCTTATTACTAAGCAGATTTTCAAGTCTATTTAAAAGTAAAAAGCTCCATATTCTATTACTAATCCTTTGGTTTTGCTAGTTTTTCTGTTTTCTCTTTATGCTATTCCTTATAGCACTTGACATTAGAGTCTGCATTGTGAATTAACCAGAGCTTACAAAAAATATAATTATCTGTAGGGTCGAATCCTCACAAGGAACAGAGACAAAATTTGTCCCACTTCCAGGCCACAAGAGTCTGATTTCATGCAGCCCCATACACTACCAAGATGGAACCTGGGACTTACTTCCTATCAGGAGGGCTTGAACTTGGAGATGTTTGTCCCATGGAGGGCCTCCAGCCCTTTCCCCATCCCTTGTGACCTAGGGCAAACATTTGCACACAGGTGGACTAGAGGAAAGGGTGCAATTGGACTAGGGGAAAGAAGATCGCTAATGGCCCACCCAGGGACCAGCAGTCCTGGCCTTGGACTCATTAGCACCATCCTCTAATCCCGCCACAGGCGTACAGTAGAGAAGCCTTCAGGGCACAAACAGAAAAGAAATCAGGCTGCAGAGAAGATTTCAACCCAAATCAAACAACCAGACAAAAACTCAGCTACCGGAAATACTCCCATAGGATGACCAGAGCACAATATATCTCCAGACTACAGATGCTTCTCCAGACACTACAAAAGTTGATAAGGAATATTCTGCAGCCTATGAAAAATTAAATTTAAAAACAAAGTACACAGAACCTTTTGGAAAAACGAATTAGAATTTGGATTTAATGGTGGGCTAAACACTACTCTGGTGACTTGGAAAAGCAGACGCCTTGTCACTGGTATTAGCTGATCCATTCTCTAAGAAACAATTAAAAACCAATGCACTCCCTACTTCTGCATTTGGTACCCACTACCATGGAAGTCGGCCATCATAGATTAACACGGAGTTCCTAGAGATGTGACATTGCAAGGCCTATGATAACCCAGCAAGGAGAGCAGGGCTTCCCTAGGCCACATGGCTGGTGGGCCTGGTCCACATAACACTGCGATCAGATGTCACAAACCCAAACAATAAGACAAACATCCTTCTTAATTTGAAAGTCTCCTTTCTGGAAGAGTTGGGATATCTAAGATATACTATATTTAAAAGAGTGCTGTGTTGCTTGTTTATAATTTAAGAGTGTCCCATAAAATGCCTTGGAAACAGCTCTCTGTTAGCTAGAAAAACCTTTGGTTAAATATATTTTTACAAGCTTTTCATTAACAGAGAAGCAAGGACTTGATGCCAAGGTGCCAAACCTCCCCACGTGGCTGGAAATCACTTGGCACATTTTCAGCCATTTCAGTCCCTGTCATAGGTCCAAGGTTTGCAATTAAAAATATAATCTTTTTAGCATGTGCAAGACCCAAAGGCTTGAAGTACCATGCACTGAATAGGATTATAATAGTATGTGGCAGCTCTTCACGGAGGGCACATATTAATTTATGTAAACTGGGCTCAACCTGGGGCACTGCCTCATCAGGATCACAGGCAAAAATCAAATAAAAATAAAAGCTGATCCCTACTCAACTGGAGATTGGGGTTTTGTGTTTTGGTGGTCCCTCCTCCTTCTTTGTTTTTGTTTTTTGATCATCATAGAGAGGAACTAAAAATTCAAGGTCTCTTTTGTGACACGTGCATGGAGTCCTTTCAAATCAAAATTTCCAACTAATAAAAAAAATAACTTACTTTACAGGATTATTCTTAGGTTTTGCCTTTTCAACAGCCTGTAAACAGAAGAAAAAAATGCAATTAGACAACATTAGCAGGCATAATCTTCGCAACTAGTTACCAAAACAATAAGCAATATAAATTGCTCTTCCGAAACACAAGGACCTAACGGAAGCAGGCTGCTTGCGATAAGCAGACTGGAGACATGGAGCAATTTTCCCTTCCCGGGGCACATGGTTACCTGTCTAAGTGCAGCTTTCAGACACAGACACTCATTCCTCTCTCCACCTTGCACTCCGATATTAGCCCCTGGGTGGGCCTGCTTGGATTGTTATGACAGGGTGGGGAAGCAGGTACGTGGTGGGGGGTTGTCACGGGCACATCCAGGACTTTTAGATTTGTGGTGGGGACCCATTTACCTTGAGCAACTCCTGACCCCTGGCTGCACCTGCATGGTGAGAGCAAGGCCAAAGTAGCCACTTCTAAAATCATTTTTATTAGTGTACACCACAAAAGGCCAAGGGATGACCGACCCCTCAGATCAATCTCCTCTGGTGGAACCTTTAAGAAAACACACACCAAATCATCGAAATGAGGAAACCTCTGGGCCTCTCAGCCTGTGTCGCCTTAGACATGGAGCCTGGTTCCAGTTTATTGCTGAACCCATTGATCTGTGTACAGTCCATTTATCATTCATGAAAAGAGCTAGTGATCTTCACAGTATATTAGAAGAAACAACTCAGATCATCTGTCAACAGCCCTCTTATTTCTGTTTCCCTCTCCACAGGGATTGCATCTCCTTGGATTCTTCTGGAATTAAAATGTTGCTAAGCAACACAGCTGGGGGCACTGATGGCAGAATGGCTACAGTCTATCAAACTGTTTAAGCACCTGGAGGGTTTTAGCGATGATTTTTTTCATACTTCTGTAGCATAATTATGTAATCAGAACCAAACTTGTACTCCCCTAGACTTTTGCAGACTGTAGAAATAACGTGTAATATGGGGAGCATTGAAGCGGCAGCTTGATACTCTCTGGGGTCTTCAGACCCTTTCAAGAAGTATCCGTTTGGAGACCTTTATATTTGTGAATTCTGGAGGTGGGCGATGGCAGCTCCTTGTAACACCAGACTTGGCATTCTGGGTAACTGGTGTGGAAGTAAGTACCCCGGACTTTCTAATCAAACAGCTCAAGACACTCTGGAGCCATTTTTTAAAATAAATGAAACACTTCTCAAGCTTAGAGATTAGCACCGGAAATTCAAGTCCTTCTCCTCTATTAAATCTCAGGTTCTGTTGCTAGGTAAATACCCATTAATATTTGGGCACTTTCTTTGGCTCTCAGTGGCAAAAATCATCTTCTCACCATCTGTGCCTGAGGTTGAATTTTGGCAAACGGTGGAACAGCAAGCAAGCGAGAGCGGGAGGTAGCAGGTGAAAAATGATAAAATAAGCAATATGTGTGTGGTCAGCCCAAGTCACATCTCACAGGTAGTTAGGATACGGAAATGTGTCCCTGAGCAGGTCTGGCCCTGGAACGGATGCGGGAAGGAACAGGTGGAGGCTGGTGTGGAGGGGGGCTGGACCCAGTCTGCCCAGCTGTGCACACCCACACTTGTCTTCTCTATCACCCTTTCTCCCCTACTCCTGGCTGCTTTGGAATGGCGTATGGTAGTGGGATGAAGACATGTCACTGTGGAAATCACAGGAACCCACGTTCCCTTGTCTGTTACAATCCAAACGGGTCTGTTCTTGGAAGACTTTGGTTATTGTAAAGGCACTAGCATGGTGTTCGAGGGGTTTCCTTTGAAAGCACACTGAATGTGATAGCATGGGCATGCTACTGGCAGAAGACAGGGAGGGAGAAATCACAGTGACATTGCTTAACCTAGCTTTCATTCAGTGACATGGTTTTTGAAAATGTCTTCTCTTTTCTGTGCTTCAGGACTGTCAACTAGACCCAGTTAGTTTTCTCTGATCAGGAGGAACATAATCATGTTCAAGGCCAGTTTCTTTGAAACCTATGTCTTTTCATACAGCCATCATAGGAAAATAACTTCATTCAAATTAATGTTTTCTGGGCTGCTTGGCTATTGATTGAAAATGTCTCTGCTGAGAAGTTCTCTTTTCTTTGGAAATTAACTTGGGACCATTCCAGAGAGCCAATAGCTTTAGTCAGACGTGCTCACGTCATCCTCCTGTGTGCTCATCACCTTTCATCTCTAAGCTAAATGGTTACAGGGAGTCACCACCAGACCTGAGACAGAGCTCACAATGTGCGTTCTTTGTTCCCGCTTTAATGTGATGCTGTGTTCCGTCTGCTATAATTATTCAACTCAGAGACTGTGAGGGAAAGTTAAGTGAATTATCTGTGGGAAAACTATATGTGCCTTTAAGGTCTAAGAAGTAGTTTAAAAAAAAATACAAGGAGAACATTCCTCTTTTGAGATAATGGGACATGAAAACACCAGCCCAAGTTCCGAAACATTCAAAAGGAGGGGAATCAAAATGAAATGATCTCATGTAATTTGCCACACATTAAGAGGGTTGCATATTGGGATTACAGCTCATTTTGAGTTTAAAAACATACATTAAAGTAATTTAAACTGATTGGAAGATGGAGGCTAGATAGTTAACACCCATGCCGCTTTAATTTGCAACATCTATACGCTTTCTAAAACCTATATTCTACTTATTTTGTGCCACATTTCCTTAACATGATACTTATCTTACCATTAAGGAAGCTCTAGTATAAGAAAGGATGATATGATAAATTAAAATGCTAGAAAACGGATTCCACTGTGGTGTGGTAAAAGGCCGTGGGCTACAGTGGAAAGAGTGATGGGCAGGAAATTCAGAAACTCGGGTTCAGCTCCCAGCTTTGCCACTTACTATCATCAGGATGTTAGCAAGGCGGCTGACACTTCTGAGTCTATCTCCTCATTTTAAAAATGAAGATGATCATTCCTGTCCCATCTACATCAAGTGTGGGTGGGAGCAGCCAACATCCACGGCGGCACTGTAGAAACCATCATGCGCCATGCAAATGCAGTGTAGACTGTGCCTGCTTTGGGCTTTGGGGCACACATCTGCATGGCCAGAGAGTTTATGGGCTTGATGACTTCTGGGCAGGGTTGTGGTATTGAACCCATACAGTTATTCCAACAAGACTTCTGGGAGCCACTGTGTTCCTCTCTCCACGTCAGGAGCAGTTCTGGGCTAAATAGAATGCTTCTGTCTGGAAAGTCCTACTCGAAGGAGATCTGGGTATGTTTAGAGCCTGACCTGTCTGGGCCAGCAGGAGAGACCCCTGTACCTTTGCACATGCCTCTGGTCTGAAACTTCTTCGGGTCTGGTGCTGGTGGCCAAGAAGCCAGGGCACCTGAGGTGTCATGGGGACACAAAAGCAGGTGCATATCCTCAAATCTCTCTGTCTCCCTCCTTCTCCCCCACTCCTCCTCCACAAGGAAGCCTAGGAAACCTCCATCGTCTCCAGTGATTTTTTCATCAGTGGTCCCCCCTTTCACATCTCACTCCAGGAGGATTGTGCTTTGCTTTTTCACTAACATTTGACTCTGAGGTTGAGAAGCCCTGAGGTGAGCCTCCTCTGTCATATGGTATCTTGGAAAATCATATACCAGGGGAGAATGCACTTCTCTCATTCCAAGGAATGTGTATGAACGGATTCTTCTCTTATTACTGGCCTTATATGATCCATGGTATCCTGCTAAGCAGCAAATTTATTTCCTCAGGAGGGATGATGTGGCTAAGGACATGCTCATAGTTGCTCACTCATTAAAACTGTCTTCCTAAAAATAAGAAGGATCTTGTCTTTCTGCTATGCAGAGAAATTTCTGGCTCCACCAAGGTCCAAGCAATTCAGGGACCATACTGAATTACGTGAACCATAAAAACTGTAGAGCTCTCATGAGAAAATAGAAGGAAAGAAGGAAAGAAAGAAGGAAGAAAAGAAAATGGCTGTCTCTTGAGTCCCATCCTCCATGGCAAACATAATATCATGTGTTTTTAGGGAGAAAATGCTACATATACTTTTTTGACATCTTCTACAGAGGGATCTAACTTTTAAAAAGTTCTTTGATGATTCTGTCCCAGTGTTATTCTTTTTTTTTTAATTTTTTAAATTTATTTTCAGCGTAACAGTATTCATTGTTTTTGCACCACACCCAGTGCTCCATGCAATCCGTGCCCTCCATAATACCCACCACCTGGTTCCCCCAACCTCCCACCCCCCGCCCCTTCAAAACCCTCAGATTGTTTTTCAGAGTCCATAGTCTCTCATGGTTCACCTCCCCTTCCAATTTCCCTCAACTCCCTTCTCCTCTCTAACTCCCCTTGTCCTCCATGCTAGTTGTTATGCTCCACAAATAAGTGAAACCGTATGATAATGGACTCTCTCTGCTTGACTTATTTCCCTCAGCATAATCTCTTCCAGTCCCGTCCATGTTGCTACAAAAGTTGGGTATTCATCCTTTCTGATGGAGGCATCATACTCCATAGTGTATATGGACCACATCTTCCTTATCCATTCATCCGTTGAAGGGCAACTTGGTTCTTTCCACAGTTTGGTGACCGTGGCCATTGCTGCTATAAACATTGGGGTACAGATGGCCCTTCTTTTCACTACATCTGTATCTTTGGGGTAAATACCCAGTAGTGCAATGGCAGGGTCATAGGGAAGCTCTGTTTTTAATTTCTTGAGGAATCTCCACACTGTTTTCCAAAGTGGCTGCACCAACTTGCATTCTTTTTGGGTTTTTAAGAAGCACGTCCTGAACCAGGATACCCGGACTTACCATAATACCTTCCCCTTGCCCCCAGATTGGCAGAAAATAGACCCAATACAGTATGTTTCCTCTTTGTTGAGACTGTAGAGGTGAGCACTTAGAGGGCCTAGACATATTATAGTGGTGGAATCATTTGACAAGGCTATGTATTCAGATGCTGCTTTTTTCCTTAGTCAGTAATCATGCTGCCAATCAAGCAAAAAATGTGATTCTATTAGCATTGCTCTATATAGCTTTTACCTTGCCTGCTTG